GCTAAGATCTCGAGCGGTTGTTATGCTCGGCGCGATCCACTCTGGAACTCGAAGACTGTTGCGTTTCTACGCTCTCTCGTGAAAATTTCCCGCGTCTATTGATAATATGTACCAATGATCGATGTCTTCGAATGTCTGGTCCAAATCCGATTGAATTGTATCTCATCTGATACATAATAAAAACGTCCAATAAAAGAGGGAAATTTATACTCTACGTTATACTGAACATTATCGTGCAATTAAATGACGTGTGCAATCGTATCAAAAAAATGTTTCCATTTCGCTTGATATTTGATATTTGATCATCAGACTGCGAATATTCATGCATTTTTGTATTTTTACGAACTTAACTGAGGGAATTCTCGAATTTCGCCGAAAGTACTAGAAAACTGTCGATCGTTCCGATTCTCAAACACCACAAGATTATCCGAAGCAGAGTCGTTGAATCAATTTGAAACTTCTCGCTATGGAGAAACGTTCTTACCGTAAAGTGGGAAAATTCCGACCGTGATCTCGTTTGGTCGACGTTCGATCGCTGAAAAACATCGGAAGAATTCTCCTAGGTGACGGACGCGTCGTCGGGGGTCGTGACGATAGAATCGGAAGCAAGAAAGGCGCGCGTTAACGTTGAATCACGCAATCACCGTCGTGATTAACGGTCCGATTGATCGACGACGTCAAATTAATGTTATTTATCTTCGACTGCACCGACGTTGGTGCATTGGCGTTGCGCGCGCGTATTATCGTAATTACTAATTATAGTTTCGAGCCGGCTCGTTAATTACCCGGTGCGCGATCCGCGCGAGCGAAACACGCCAGTATTATTGACTCGCTAAACAGAGAACAGTCTCGACCATATTTTCAGCATATTTGCGCGGGGGCGGCGAACTTGCGTGCCACGCACACGCACACGCACAGATTGCACGAGCCGCGAATGCACAACGAAAATTTCGCCCGCGGACGAAGCACGACGTCAGCAGTCCTCTGGCGTGAACGCGAGCTCGCGTTTTAACGATTACCGGTGATTAAACAGCAATTACCGCCCCACGGGTATCGAATTATTGTATATGCGGGGGAGAGGAACCCGGCTCGTTTTACCCCGGCTACTCTCCTTTCGAGAAAATCGGGAATTTCACTCACCTCTGTGCCTGTTGGTTTGCTTATCGAACATCAGCATGGCATCCTCGATCTGTAATTGCAAATAAAAAGAACGTCGGTTAGTTGCGTTCCTCTTCGAGACCGGGATTAATTAATTAAAATGTTAATTTGCATAGAGTGAAATGGAAGCGGATCTGCTTGAGATTTGTTGCAATATGCAATTAACATTGTTATTTACGGGAAATAACATGATGATGTTGTGAACATCAGTTTCTACATTTACTCTTAAATTTGTCCTTATCTGTAAACTGAATATTAATTACGTACTTATAATGAAATTAGTAAAAAGTATGTATGATTACTAGCTGACTTTTGGAGCGAAACGTTAATTGATCTTGAATCGTCGATTAAATTATTCGGAAGATATTTCAATAGAACTTGAAAAGAGAAAAAGAATGAAATAAATAAAAAAACACGAGAAGCATTCCACTGAGAAACATTCCACTGGCATACTAAAATGCGTATATCATTCGAGGGACGGAAATTGTCACAGTTACATTTCCGCAGATTTCAGAAAACAAAAGCGTGTGATCGTGTTATAAACAACCGTGATAAATGTACGACCTGAAGAGAAGGTATAAGCGAGGCGCAACAAGACGTCAGAACTTAACGTCATAAATTAGTAGCGACCCTTGCTCGGTGTTGCTAAAAAAAAACAACCCCTTCTACGTGGCTCGCGAGTCTGAAGTGGCTCGACGAAGGCGAAGGCGTTATGGATCGTAAACAACCCTGTGCAAACAGGATACCAAAACTCGAAGTGCCGCGACAAATTTTCAAAAGCGGTCAGCTATCTTTATCCAGAAGAAGAATATTCAAATGATACGATCCGAAGATAAATAAAAACCTTCTCGTTCCTGCTACTGTTGAATTAACTAACTGTCGTCGCGCGTCGTCAGAAAATCAAGGCCATTCGATTTGAAAGTAGTTATTAACGTTCTCATAATTCGCATTAGTAGCTACATCAAGTGTTTTTTTTTCCCTCTCCTCTTCAAAACAATTTTTACTCCTTCTGCTTCACAACAATTATAAAACCACGGTTCCCTTATCGTTACAACCCACTGTTGACTCAACCAACAATCTACAACTAAAATCACTCTCGTTAAATTTACACGGTTCGCTCTCGATCGTGTTTCGTTGTTTCGAGAGCAGAGAGAGAGAGAGAGAGAGAGAAATTCTGACGTTTCACGGATCGAGCGTTAACCTAACCATCTCGAGCGACCCGGCACCGGGTGGTGGGACGAGGTCCCTTGGAATCGCAGATAGGATCGCTTGTATTCTTCCCGGAAGTACATGTGTGCCGTAAAGCACAGCTGGACCGAGATTTACGAAGCACGCCGCCGAG